AGAAAATATCTAAGAGAATTAAGTTATTAAATAACTTCATATTTTTTTCTGATGTAAACGAGCAAGTATAAAAAACACAAATATAAAAAACACAAGTTTCTCGCACATGTACCCAGAAAGTTTCATGATACTCCTTTGCATAATTATAATATACATAATTTATGCAGAGATTTAATATTGATTTGATTAACGTTATATACAAGTCGAGAGGATCCCAATTGACCACGGCTCGATTGGACACCACCAATCACAGTGGCCAAATGCCTAGGGACTTTCTAATCTCAAGCGTTATGAGTGGCTTTTTTTCAAAAAAAGGCTTGTGTCCAATCGAATCGTATTCAATTGAATGCCAGCCATACAAGTCTTTATCCATACATATCCTTATGAAAGATGACATATTATATATTATCCAAAACAATGCTATATTTTATACAACATAAATCTCATCGTGACAAAGAGAGATCACATAAATAATTCAATCTACGAAAGTTGAACGAACGCGTACAGGCTTAGAATCATACGGAACGATTTTTCAATTGAATATTAATGGTCATAGACGGCTCCTCGGTATTATCCAGACTCTGTCGAAAGAGTTGAGCGTGTTGCCAAGCTTCCTGACCTTGTCCACCGGACAACGTTACGATTACATTTATTCGCGCTGCCTTTCTTACTTCTTCCGTGTGAAAGTTACTGCAGTTTGGAACGGATATTGTAACTGCTCTGTTGTCGTCGAAAATGGCCTCGATCTCCCAGGATACCGTGGCATTTTGAAACACCTCCGACTTAGCTTTCAGAGTCAATGTCTCTAGACACGATTTGGAATTCGGGATTTCGAAAGTCCATTTAACACTTCCACGTTTCGCCTGCTGGGATCGCGCCAAATAAACCATCTTCCAATCGTTCTCCATTTTACGGAAGACTCCACCTTCCATGGTGTTCATTCCTTCCAACCATCCAGATTTCTCTTCCAAAATGGTACCGTTATTGCGCACAACGTGATATAGATCTTTAACGATGTTGTACCGCAGTTCGAATGTTTCTCCATATTTTGAAATGTCCCAAATATAACTCTTCTCCGTGTCGGCCTAATAAAATGCATTTAATGATTGAGTAATGGAAGTTTCTGATAATATCCGGTAAACATAAAATTAACAGTAATGTTATCAATATTATGATTTCCCACTCAGCAATATAAATGTAGTATAACACATATATGCATGTAACAGTTACACTGTTGGATAAAAAGTTATACATTGGCGTAGTACTGTTAGTAGAGGTTTATTGGATAACTATTTCAAAATGAGACGTAAAATTGATAAAGACATCCCTGGTGAAAATTTTTCTCATAATTTTTATACAAATTGGAACATTTTTCAGAAATACTTAGAAATATTCGGAAAATTTACATCTTTCCTCAGAATTTTTCATACAAGTGAATTATGAAATATTCAGAAATTTTTTATCCCATAATTTTTAAAAAGTATTTTTTAATTTTTTAGATTTTATAACATTTCATTATAAATTATACTTACAAAGTCTTAAAAATCTTACGATATTTCATAATTAACATATATGAAAAGTTCTGAGAAAAGATGTAGATTTTCTGAGAAATGTTCCAATTCGTATAATAAAATGCGAGAAAGTTATAAAATTATAGAGGAATTCTGAAAAATTATATAAAAAATTCTGAGAAAAATTTTCACCAGAGATGTCATGCGAATTCTATTTGAATAATTTGTATCGAAAAGAACATAAATTTTTTCAAATATTTATGCTACGATATTTCGAAGTTTGACTTGTACTGATTTCAAAATTTGTGTATATCCACACCTGCGTAATTTCACCTCGTGCTAATCTCCACATAAGAGAACCCGAGGTTCGCCCCTCGTAGATCTCTTCGTCGGAGTCCTTCTGCGAATTTGGAATGTACAGCATATCGGCGAGCTCCAACAGTTTCCGCTTGACGACGTACTCCCTACGCGCGCTACTGTAATTGACGGAGTTTTGCCGCTGGTAAGTCAACGATTGGAGTAAATGTATTAAGCTCTGTTCGGTACAAGTTTTTCGCCTCTTCATGACGGTTTCTTGGTCTCGCGTATAACGCCACGTGACATCCTGCACCTCATCTCTGGAATAGGCTATTATGTATGTCAACTTCTTTTGCCATCCCTTTTCGTATATTAATGGCTTATCTATAATGTTTTCACACGGGTCTACGTGAATCCATCTCTTGTTTGACGCCGACCATATCTGTGAAAGTAAAGAAACAAGTTACGTCAACAAATTACATTACAAATGTACTTTAAAACTAATGAATGATAATTCGATGTACCTCTGTCCAAACGTGATCTGTTTCATCACATATAAATCGCGCGTCGTAGCCTAACGATCGGCATAAAAGGGTGAAGACATTAGCCCATTCCCCGCAACGACCGCGTCTCAGGATCAGCAGTGGCTCTGGATGCGTATAACGAGGAAATTCGACAACTATATTGCACTTTTGGCATCTACGATTGAATTAACGCCACAGTGATATTGCAAAGTTGCACACAGTATATGATTCTCTGATGAAAACAATTCTAATATTTTCTCATAATATTTTTAAGAATTTATTGTCATATTTTAAATTTATGAAAATTTCTGGAAAAATATCTTAAACTTGTTTAGATTGTATAAGTTTTCTTCGGATAAGTTACAAAATTATTTCTCATAAAATGAGAAATTATAAGAAACTTAGAATATTTCAGAATATTTATAATAAAAAATTCTAAGAAGACTTTCAGAAGCCCCTCCGAAAAGTGTTTCAATTTCTATAAAAAATCTGAGAAATTTTTTAAAAAGTTATAAAATTATACAGAAATTCTGAAAAATTGTATGAAGAAAATCTAAAAAAAATGTCCATGAAGATTTTATCGAAAAGAATTTTATACCTATACAACTCTATCCTTGAGCAATGAGGATTTATAGAATGTATCACATTTTCGTATGTACATTCAGTAAAGCACGTGGGACACTTTGGATTGTTGACCCATTTAAAAAATTCATGCTTAAACCAGCGTAAAAGCTCAATCAGAAATAAATCTTTAGCTATTAATTCTGCTTCGAATTGTGGAGAGGTAGCTTCAGCGTTCTCTAATTTAAAAGATCTGCAAACGCCAGATAAAAGAGTAAATATATAAAGATAAGTTTTATCAAAGAAGATAAAAAGCATAGATAGGATTAAATTACTTTTGTAGATCCCTCATCTTCGTCATTGTCGCAATTTCTAATTGTACAACAGGTACAACTCTTTTGGCCTTTTTTTGTAAATTCGGATCTTCGTAGTACAGAACATCACGAAAATGTCCAACGATTCTATCAAAGAATGTTTTCTGCGCTGTAGAACTCTTGTTAACATCGTTGGTAATAGGACTGCTTTCTGTCGCAGTGCACAACAGCCTCGACAAACTCTGAAGTTTCAAGAGGGACGCGTTTCGTGGTAAGAATATGCGTTCTCCATCCTGTTGCATACAATTGACAGCTTAGTAAAGACTTCGATAAATGTCAGTAATGTTCAAATTTAAATATACACAATAATTAGTTTATAATCCCACTGAACATAACTAACAAAATTAACAGTAACATTATATCAATGTTATAATTTCTTACTCAATGATGGCTACATTTAGTAGAAAAAGCAGCTTTGCAACTGTTGTAAGATTCTTTAAAGTAATTAGTTACACATTTAGATCTATAAAGAACTAAAAGGGTATGGTAAAAAAAGTTGATAAAGAACAATGAAGAATGATAGGATTTTTATCAATTTGTATCATTTTCTCTAAGTTTATATCATTTTCTATTGTCGACCTTGCAAGCATCAATTGATCAGAATTCTATCGTATTTTATTGGGTTCTAAAAAATTTGTACAAGATTCCTATTAAATATGATTTAAATTAGTGAATTCACGGATCAGATTCCATATTCAAAATTATAGGATTTTTCTATCAACTTTTTTTACCATTCCCATAATAAAGAATCTTGCAAATTACAAAGCTGCTATTTCTGCTGAACACAGCCAACTGTTACATATATTATATGTTATATTACATTTATATTATTGGAAAATTATAATGGCTGCTCTCCCTTTAGCAGACACAGTCGACACAAACTTTTTATCTTCTCAGCATTTAACAAATAACAAAGGATGTTTTCCATTTAATGATCCACCAAGTTAACAAATGTCATTATGTCTTTGTTACTCATTGAATGTCAAGAAAGATAGAATGCTGCTGTTATTGACTTGTGTCACTAAATAGAAAGCACTGAAAGATAAAACAATCCATTTGTGTCGACAGTGACTTTCCTCTTAAAAGGAAAGTAGCCAATATTGATTTAATGTTACTGTTTACATATAGCATGATGCTGCTGTTTCAGTGACAGTAATCAAGAGATAAAAATCCAGAGAACCTCGAGATCTTAACCGAGTACAGACCTCGACGTAGCCGACGTCGAACAGACACTCCAGGGCACCGATGGCCGGCAGAAGCTTCTCGACGACGACCTCATCGTCAAGACGCAGTTCGCGGGACCTGTAATTGTTCGGCGATCTCAACACATTCCGGCAGATACTCAGCAACGCTCGTCGAGCTTCATCGCGCACATCTTCCGTGTTCTCTTCGAGGGACTTCACGCAACGCTCCAGACTTTCATCCATGTCGACGTGGACAACACTCTTGGACAGCCGGCAATCATCTGTTCGCGATGGCTGTCGGGCGCCCACCTGTCGTCATTTTTGCTGACTCCTCGCGCGTCGCTGGTCGCTATAGAGATACAAGATAAGCTCTCAGCTGCCAGTTCGCAGTGCTCCCATATGAGGCTGCTGCATCAAAAATGAGACGAACGCAGGCGCGTGGACTCGGGTGAGAGGAGGAAGGCGTGAGAGATAAATGATGGGTTTTACCGACGGCAAACGTAGCACGAGCTGTGCCACGAGATTGCGGCAGACATGAACGGACCTAGACGGCGTCTCGTGGGAGACGTTCCCTCATCAGTGTTCATCAGATACATGGGTGCTTTAGATACTCATGTCAACTCGTCGGGACGCGGCGCGAAGGGGGATGACAGTGTCCGCCCACCACGGACTGGTGTGGGCCGTCTCTTTCGTGCGTGTCTCGCCATCGGTTCGTATATGGTCACCCGCAGGAATCCGCACGCAATCTCACGCGACTTTCGAGAGCCGCGTCGAATCCGCGAGATGCGTGTTTCCGATTGACACCGGGGTGTTCGATTTCCTTCCTTTTGTGAGAGAACGCCGCAGTTACGTACGCACGAGGCGAGTAATGAGGTTGCCACGCTGGTGTTAGTGTCAGGAACATGGCTATATTTAGCGTATGACGGCTGGCCATTTCAGAGCAGGAACGACTTGATATAGCTCGCTCGCGGCGTCGCCTGTTGTGTGTTTACGGCCTCGGTTCATGATAACGGCGCGGAAATGGAGGATATATTTCAGTGGTGTCGCGAAGGCAACGCTATGCAAGTCCGCGTCTGGCTGGATGACACGGAGCATGACATGAATCAGGGGTAATTACTCCAGAACTCCTTTTTTGGAAAGGACTCGTCCCGCCGGACGTCACGGTTTCTCTGACTCTATAATTAGGCTGGTTGGATGATCCGATAATTCTCTAACGAGTATTCTTTATTAATAGTCCCCTGGGTGTTCCAGGAAACAATTAAAAATAGAGTTTGATTATCAAAATAATTGAATAGACATGAAATGGGTGATTTTCATTTGGTAACAAATTGACACAAATGTCGTTCTATCTTTATTGTTCACTGAATGTCAAGAAAGATAGAATAATACTTAATTGTGTCATTAAATGGAAAGTACTCACCACAGTGTTTTGTTTATGACACTTTGAATCTTGTGTTTTTAGATGATATTTCAAGAAACTACTCGCGTTTGACTGCAAAAATGTTTGCAATACAATAATTTGTATTTTAATATCTTAAATTCTCATTGCAAAATGTTTCATTGTCCTTGAACATGTCATTCTGTATACAGAGACGATCATGGATTCAGTCCACTTCACTGGTGTGCTAAAGAAGGCCATTTAAAATTGGCAGAGTTGTTAGTTACCAGAGGGGCACGCATTAATGCCACCAACAGAGGAGATGATACACCATTGCATCTAGCCTCAGCACATGGACACAAAGAGATAGCACAGCTGGTAATGAAAGGATTTAATAACGTTGTTTTGTTTAACTCTCCATCCGCAGTCTCTGGTATAAGAAATTTTATTCTTAAATTCTAAAATAAGGGAAGGTCCAGTTTTTTTTCCTAAAACATCTTGTTAAAAAATTATTTGATAATGTCATAGAAATGTTGAAAAGTAACCCTGGATTTTCCACATTTTGGAGAACTTAAAATAGTAAATCTTTGGAAGTAAAAATATGATTGCAGAGAGACAGAGGATTAAGATTATCAATTTAAAACTATAAATATAATTATTTGCAGTTGCTCAGAAATCGTGCCGACGTAAACGTCACAAATGAACATGGAAACACTGCCTTGCACTACGCTTGTTTCTGGGGAGATCAGGCAGTTGCGGAGGAATTGGTCGCAGCGGGTGCTCTCGTATCTATCGCCAACAAAGACGGTGATACTCCTCTTGATAAAGCCAGAGGTGTTGTGGCCAAGAGATTGCATGGTACGTAAAAGTTTGTACATTCTGAATTAGTTCTTAGAATATATTTCTTGTTTCATCATAAAAACAATAAAAAAACATATGGACTAATAAGAATCAATACAAATGTTAATGCGCAAATATATTCAAAGTATGTAATACAAAAGTTACTGAAGCGTTTGTATTACATACTTCGAATATACATATTTGCGTGATTAATATCCATGTTTTATTCTTTTCTTTTTATTATTTTTGTTTGATTGCAGGAGTCCAATTAATTTAATTGTTTGTTTCATTAGATATAGCAATGGAGTATGGACAAGATTTGAAGAAGATACAGTTCAAAGATCAGAGTTGGTTAGGCTTGAAGACTAGGAGCCGTAAGTGTTTTTTAAATTCCTAAAAAACGACAAATGTCGGGAGTACGTCATTTTCTTTATAATATTTTTCAGGTGACGCGACTCTCTCGAGATACAAAGGGATCAGTATGGCAGATTTGTCCCTCCACATGCACCTCGCGAGCACACCGAGTGGCGAAACTTGGAGAGGTCGATGGCAAAACAATGATATCGTTGCCAAGATATTAAATATTCGCGAGTGTACCACGCGCATCTCCAGGGATTTCAACGAGGAGTTCCCAAAGCTGAGAATTTTCTCACATCCGAACGTTCTGCCGGTCCTTGGCTGCGTGAATCAGCCCCCGCAGTTGGCAACCGTCTCCCAATACATGGCGCGAGGCAGCTTGCATAGACTTCTGCACGGCGGGACGGGTGTCGTCGTAGACACTGTACGTGCTCTACGATTAGCCCTCGATATCGCCAGAGCTATGGCGTTTCTTCACGGTTTGGATCGGCAGAATAGATGCAGATTTCACCTCAACAGTAAGCACATAATGGTGAGTTCTAGATAGTCGGTAATTACATAAGTAATTAAATATCTAGATATACAAGAAACATTTTGTATTTGCGTTGGAAATGGTCTACTAAAATTTTGTATTGAAATTTTAACATATTTGAGTGTTAATTTAACATAATATGATTATGTTATTAAAATATTTGTGTGAAATTGATATTAAATACTTCTTAGTAATAAAATAACATAATTTATGAGTAAGTGAACAATATAAAAAAAAATATTTTAAAACATAAAATTGTAAGAGGAATTAATAAAATACGTGTTTTATATATATATAATTTAATATATCATAAATATTAATTTTACTGAAAAAATATGCTTCCACACATTTTCGTGTTAAATTAACACAAAAATTCGAGTGGATCATAAAATGTATTAAATTTAACACAAATTTTCCAACTGTGCAGTCTGAATTTGAACGCACAAAGTCTATGGTATGTTTATCTTAACACGTTACATTCAATTTTAATATCAGATCGATGAGGATCTAACAGCTCGTGTGAATATGGCCGATGCGAAATTTTCCTTCCAAGAAGTCGGGCGAATTTATGAACCGGCATGGATGTCGCCGGAAGCTTTGAGCAAACGTCCGGCGGACATAAATCACGAAGCGAGCGACATGTGGAGCTTCGCCGTTCTTCTGTGGGAATTGGCGACCAGAGAAGTACCATTTGCGGATCTATCGCCTATGGAATGTGGCATGAAGGTGGGCAATACATCTCTTACTTTCAAAATTAGAAATTACGATACAAGGTTCCCTCTCTCTTCCCCCTGTAACTTTAGCAAGAAATATCTCATTGTTTTATATATAGCGATCTTCATTAAATAAAGATTAATAATTAATTTTAGATCGCCCTGGAAGATTTACGCGTAAGCATTCCGCCGGGCATCTCTCCGCATCTCGCAAAGCTTATTCGAATTTGTATGAATGAGGATCCGGGCAAGCGACCGTCCTTCGACATGGTTGTGCCGATCCTTGACAAGATGAAACGTTAAAATATATAAAATTATTTGATAAAAGGTAACACAATCAGAAAAAATAACGGAATACATCCATTTAATAGTATCTAAAGAATCTCTATATTTATTAAACTGCCTGAAGAATTGTTATTAACAACGATAGAATATTTTTGTATCAATATATTCCGTAAGTGGACGAATACTGCCTTTAAAAGCCTAAGTTCTAAACGAACTAATTTTTAATTATTTATATTTTTAATATAAATTTATAAACGTATTGTAGAAGCGCACGTTTATATTCGTAATCTGTAAAACAAGTTTTTAAATGTGTAGCTTGAATTGTATCTATTTAGTGCATTATTATCTGACGAAATCGCCAGGACATTTAATATAAAAGGGATAGAGTAATAGTGCTATTTACACACATTAGAGAACATATTTTTTATAAAATGTTTAATGACACATTTATCTATATGTCGTCAGATATATATTATGATTATATGTACATTAATTAAAATCAGGATGATTAATAAAACTACATGTATAAATCTATAATATTACTCTCATTTAAATTGGAAAGCAAGTATATATTTTAAATAAATACATTTAAATAATATACTGGGTTGGAACAAAAGTTTATAGCAATTCTCTGGTGAAAAATTTTTCTCAGAATTTTTCATATAATTTTTCAGAATTGCTATATAATTTTATATAACTTTTTCACATTTTTTTATACGAATTGGAACATTTCTCAGAAAATCTACATTTTTCTCAGAATTTTCCATATATGTTAATTATGAAATGACATAAGATTTCTAAGATTTTTTGTAAGTATAATTTCTGATTAAATGTTATAAAATATAAAAAATTAAAAAATATTTTTTAGAAATTATGGGATGAGAAATTTCAGAATTTACATGTATGAAAAATTCTGAGAGAATATGTAAACTTTCCGAATATTTCTGAGTATTTATTCTGAATATTTCCGAAAAATGTTCCAATTCATATAAAAATTGTAAGAAAAATTTTCATCAAAGTTGTCAGGTGAAATTCAAAAACAATGTTTAGACATTTGTACATAGATTTATTCAACCACATATGTGCCATTCTGTTCCACTACCTTTCGCCACCTTTCAGGCAGTTTCATGATTCCATTCTCCCAGAACTTGGCATCTTTCTCAGCGATGAACTGGTCCAGGTGGTTTTTACAATCTTCCAGGGAATTAAAGCTCTTTCCATTAAGAGATTTCTGTAGGACTCGGAATAAATGGTAATCTGAAGGTGCTAAGTCAGGCGAATATGGTGGGTGAGGTAGGACATCCCAGCCAAGCTGCACCAATTTCTGCCGGCTTTGCAAGGAGATGTGAGATCTGACGTTGTGTTGATGGAAGACGACACCCTTCTGATTGACCAATTCCGGTCGCTTTTCATCGATTGCTGCCTTCAGTTGGTCCAATTGGGAACAGTACTTATCCGAATTCAACGTCTGGTTGTGTGGAAGAAGCTCGTAATACACGACACCCTTCCAATCCCACCAGATGCACAGCATCACCTTTTTTGGATACAGATCATCTTTCGGAGTAGTTAATGTCTCATTTCGTTTACCCCACGACCTTTTTCGCTCCTGCACATTGTTATAAACGATCCATTTTTCATCGCCCGTGATTGTCCGTTCCAAAAATGGATCGTTTTCGTTACGTTTGAGCAAAGAATCGCTGACGGAAATGCGATCCATTAAATTCCTTTCCGTTAAGTCGTGAGGCACCCAAACATCGTAGCGATTCACGTATCCGAGTGTCTCCAAATGCCTCACGACACTCATATGAGATATGTGGAGTATCTCTGCGATGTCCCGTGTCGTATGACGTGGATTATTTTCAATTAACGTTACGATTTGATCGTCGTCAACGACTGCGGGCCTGCCGGAACGTTCTCGATCCTCCAGATCGAAATTATCACTTCTAAATCGAGCAAACCACTTGCGAACAGTACTCTCGGCTACGGTACCATTTCCATAAATGGCACATATCTTTTTTGCTGTTTGTGCAGCGTTTTTCCTTTTCCGAAAATAAAAGAGCATCAAATGACGGAAATGCACCTTATTTTCCTCCATTTTTCTGTTAACGTAAACACATTTTAGAATTGGCGAATCCACACACGAATCGCTTAGAGAGACGCGTTGATTGAAACATCACCTGTCAGATTGTCTGTCTGTCTGTCTGTCTGGTGAGAATGACCCCGACTCTAACACAGAGTCGATACGGCCAGAATCGAAAATGCCGCTTATGCGGTGAGTAACAAAAGTCTAAAAGAGTAACAATCTCAATTGCATGTTTGAAGCCGGTCACACTTTCCAAAAATGATGACGCAATAACACGTCCGACACGTCGACAGACGAGCACTGTCTTGACCTGTCAGATTGTGAATGTCATATGTTCAGTCACGCCACGCGTGAAACGAATCACGTGTTCAAACGCCACCTATTAAAAAACACTACGAATTTTTGTTCCAATCAGGGTTGCGCGCGTTTGCGCAATAATAATCTATAACAACAATAAATACAATAAATCACAGTAGTAATAATAATATTAAAACAATAATAGATATATAAAATAATAATAAATAATATTTTATAATATAATAAAAAGTAATTCACAATAATGTATAATATAAATAATCTACGGCTGCCATTTATATACTCGCGCGCGCATGATACGCATAAACAAATATGTACACACATACGCATGTAGACACACAGATGCACCAGTAGTCATATTTGCATTTATGCACCTTGCGTTTATCCTATAACCTAAAAATGGCTGCGATACGCAACCTCGCCCGGTTTACGGAAAGGGCAAAGTTTTTGAACAAGTGCTACTTCACCAGCCAGAATGGCACCCTGAGGTCATTCTCCATGAACGGAGCAGTTATAGGGCTGTCACGGGAGACACAAGCCTTGGTAAAATTCGGTCTGATCAGCGCGGCTACCGGCGTCGCAGTGGGTGCAGGTTATGCATACTACAGGATCAGCGAAACCCGAAAGAACATCGCCCTGGAGGGAACAGAGTTGGATACTGTATTGCTGGAGCACAAGCCGCCTATCACTCCGTCCCGGAAGGTATCTTGACAATCGTTCTGTGAGAGATCGGATATTGCGTCTTGCATTAATGTAATCGCGCCTGTCTTGCTTCAGATTGCGTACTCGGTGGACACCACCGGTTTGAAACTTACGTTATTCCAGTATCAGACTTGTCCTTTCTGCTGTAAGGTAGGTAAAATGTCAGAAATTTCAGGAAGCAGAATCTATAACTGTGTAATTTATTCTTAATTTATCTTCCTTTCTCTCTCTCTCTCTCTCTTCTCTTCCTTCAATATTTCTTTAATTGTAAAAAGTTAATTCTGTTTATATTAACAGAATAATATTGAATATTTGAATATAACATATTTAATATAAATTTAATTTAATATAGATATTTACTCAAACAAATTGATGTTATTTGTCATCATTTTAATGTTATTTTGATATTAAAATGATGTTAAATAATGTCAGCTTATTTTCTGGATAATAAACTAATCTGTTAAGTTAATCTGAATGGAATTATGCTTCAGGTTAGAGCATTCTTGGATTATTATGGGATATCTTATGACGTTGTGGAGGTAGATCCAGTACTCCGAAAAGAAATTGGATGGTCTTTATATAAGAAAGTTCCAATTCTTTTGACCCAAGTGGAAGGAGGCTATCAGCCCTTGAATGACAGTACCATGATAGTATCACTTCTTGCCTCCTACCTATATGACAGATCACAAAAGATTGAAGAGTTTGCTGATTATTATCCAAGTGTAGGCATGCATGACGAAACTGGCAAATTCAAATACGAAATCATAAATAAGTATTTCCTCATGTTCAATAACCAACTTCCAAAAAACAGAACAATGGACGATATTATGTATGTAAAGTCTGATATGCACGATTTGATAATTGCTGCAATAGTGGGTTAACTCACATTTTGTAAAAACAAAGTAAATTAGCTCTAAACTTAAATATTAAAATAATAGTTTTCCTTTTTCACTCTAATTTTAAAGTTCATTTGCTCCGTTTTTACAAAATGTGGATTCACTATTGTAGCAAATCCTTTAGTTATCACACTTTATACTATTTTATTATTTTTTTATATGTTTAGTGAAGAGCGTAAGTGGAGGAAGTGGGCAGATGACGTATTTGTCCACACTCTTTCGCCAAATGTCTATAGAACACTCGATGAATCCTACAAAACTTTCAATTGGTTCTCGGAAGTGAGTGAATCTATGACTGGTATTCATATATATAGTCTGTTCTTATTTCAAGATCGTCTTAAGTAATGTCTTAAGATGCTAATACAACCCTTTGAATGGTTTGTGACATCTTGAGACGGTCTTGAATATAAGAATCGATTACAAATATCACCTTATGATGATTTAAAAAATACATACCAGAACGATTACATAAATGAGATTAACCAAATTTTTTCATTTAGGTTGGCAAATGGGAGGAATATTTCCCAACGTGGGAGCGACTGTTAATAGTGAATGTAGGCGCGATGGCAATGTGGTTAATAGGGAAGAGACTTAAGAAGAGGCACCGTCTAAAAAATGATGTGCGACAATCACTGTACGATGAGGCGAATTACTGGCTGCGTGGCATCAAGGCACGTGGCACCACATTCATGGGCGGCAACAAGCCTGATTTATCCGATTTAGCGATATATGGTATTTTGAAGAGTATTGAAGGCTGTGACGCTTTCCAAGATTTGAAGACCCATACAAACATCGGCGTTTGGTACAACGCTGTGAAGGAACAAGTTGATGCACATTCTGGTAGTGCAAATTTGAGTAGATAATAATTGATTTCCACACGTGTGTATAGTTATTTATTTACAAATAAATCGTACTTATACAATTACCGATATGGTAAAATATTACTTTCGATCAGAAAAAATATATTTATATAATAAAATATATGAAAAATATATTTATACAATACTTAAACTGCGCAAGGCAGCTGACGAAATGAAAGTGCAAAGCCTTTATTTTGAGACTCTTGTATTTCATCACCGTTTGTAACGACGTAAAGTACGAACGGCTTCAAGTCCGCTAGAAATTCAGTGAAAAAATATTTAGTATCTCTATAAAATGTATAACGTGGCGTTATGATTACCTACATGTTTTAGTTATAAATCCATTTCCGCAAAATCTGTCTGTATTATCGAAAACGCCATTTTCTTGCGGATCGGGTATAATTACGAAATCGGTGGTACAGTTAACTCCAGATTCTGCCACCAAGGATGTGCCTGTTGATACATATAATAATTAAACGCCGATAAATAGCAAGATATTCTACGATAGAATTTTACAAAGTATGTTCGATCAATAATTCTCGTCAGATTTATACAAGAAATTTTCAAGGAAAAATAACTGATATACCTATCACGTCTGGAGCAAACACTCCCGTGTCTCCAGAAACAGAAAAGGAGAGATTATCGACTTCTGACCA